GAGTGTCACCATCCACAGGGCTGCCCTACACTGATGGGTGGCTGTGAGGAGAGGTGGGGAGCTAAATATACAGTCTGAGGAGCTGATTTGGACTTGAGGGTGTATTTGCAATTCTCAGGGGTTGGTCCTCTCTTGAAAGAATATGAAATGGTGTTAATTTGTTTTTAAAGGCAGCATTGTTCACAGTGTGACCAAATCCTGGCCTAACACCACTGACTCTCAACTACACAAATAAATGTTGGTCAGTCTAAGAGCTGAAGGACTCTTTGTTGAAGGATCCAGGCTAGTAGTGTCCAGCTGTATGACTGCATGCAGCAACTGGTAGTGGAGATGAAGATTCCTTTTGCAACCATTGCTTCTGTATTCTGTAATTTTGTATTCCATAAATCAGACACAGAGCAGGATTCTGATGGCTTGTAAGCACACAGCACAGCCTGGTGCCTCCAAGAGCCTGGATAGCCCAAAGGAAGGTGTTCATGCTAGGCAGAGCACTGAGAATTCAGGAAGGACTTTTATGACCTACTGAACCACATCAAACTTAAGAAAGATCTAAAGACTGTAAGACTGTGTAATTCTTTTTAATGTTTTCTTTCCTGACCATTGTTTTTTTTTTGTTTGTTTGCTTTTTCATTATATATATATATTTAATTTTATTTTATTCCACACCTGTTAATGGCTTATGCTGGTTGAAAAAACAGTTCAAGTTTTGCCCCTGTGTCAAAGTGGTAGTGAAGTGTATAGGGGTGTGAAGGGGTTGTTCAAGTGGAAAAGCATATCTGATTTGAAAACAAGAAAACATCTGAGGCCATTTGAACAAGTCATGCTCTCGTACACTTTTAATCAATTACGTCTGCCAGAAGAGATCTTGCACAAGCAAATCTGGCTTCATGCAACAGGAACATTTTTGTGTGTATTCAAACTGGCTTCAAATTCTTGATAATGTGGTCTCTGGAAGCAGTGTTAATGTACTTGTAATATCCCTGGCTGCTGGAATTACCTTAAGATCAAGGTATTCAGGGTTGTTGGTTTGGTATGTAGCTCTACATTTTATTGATTTTGTCTGTGCTAAACTCCTTTACCAGCATGTGCTACAATGGGGAGTCTCCTTTGACTGTTCCAAAGGGCTCGTGAAGAAAGGAGGTAATTCATAGGATATTAGAGTGCTAGACAAACCTGAGACTACTTTATTTTCTTCCCTCTTGAAGTATCTGTTTCCTTTGCTGTACTTCAGTTCACTTTTATTTGCAGTTACAGTTTGTGGTTTTTGTTTTTATTTATTTATTTATTTATTTATTTATTTTAAGTAACAAAGAATACTTCAGCAGTAGAAAATCAATTAAATATCAGACAAAAGATGTTCTCTTGATGTAAAAATATGTACTACTATTATTTTCCAGGCTTGTTTGTTTATATTAACTTACCACAGGAGATATGTTTTCTGATTTAGAGGGAAAGATAGGGAGGAAAAAAAAAGAAACTAAAATCTTTCTGCTGGGGATTGTTGGGTGGTGATAGAATATGTGAGGTGCCTATGGAAGGTATGGGGTCGTAAATAGTTATGCAGGTGTTATAATATATGTTTTATACATACAAACACCGATGAAAAGTTTATTCTGGTGTACTGCACTGGTCAATTCACTCAAGAAGCAGTGGGGAAGTGGAGGGCAGGGGATAAATCTCCTTGGAAGCCTGGTTTTATTCCAATGGTGGTTGCATCAGAATTTCTTCCCCCAGGTAACTCCTGCTGGCTGCAGTGGTAAGGGCAGGGAGCAGGGGCAGTGCTGCTGTGAGGCAGTGTGACAGATCTTCTTTTCCCGTATCAGCGTGGCAAAGAAGGGAAGTATTTCTGCAGGGAAAGGAAACCAACATGAATTTCCCAGGGGAGGAAAAGAGCACTAGAAGAATTTAGGATCACACAGGAAAAAGTGATGTAAGAGAAAAAATGGGAAGTAAAAACAACAAAAAATACCCTCCAACCAAAAAAAGCACCAGAAATTGGCTGGGATCCATTTCAGGAAATCACTGCAAAGCCAAGTAGCTTTGTCACATACAGAAATACAGATCAGGGGAGGATATAGAAGATGACAGAGAAGCTCTTATACAGCCATACTCTAACAGCTCTCACGATGTCCCTACATGTGGAGACTAATTTTACAAATGGAGACACTAGAGATGCAGCGTGAGAAATGTATTTGGTTATGAGCTGAAACAGTCTGGTACATGCCAGACATTGCCTTGGGCTGCAGCAAAGCCACACTTCTTGGGTTAAGCGTGTCCTGGTAAATTCTGCAGCTGTCCTTTTGTTGAGGTAGACCAGGGAAGATGTTGTGCCTTGCAATTACCTTTCTACCTCCCGTCTTGTGGAAGGAACTGTTTTACTACAGCACTTTGGTACATCTGTGATGTTAGGTACCCTTCACCGGGTCTGGAAATGTGGCAGTGTGCAATGTCAGGTTTTTCTCTAGTCAGGGCTTCCAGACAAGGAGCAACCCATTTCAGGGAAAAGAAGAGGAAGAGGCAAGAAATCTTACCAGGCCATCATATGAATTGAAACTATAGGTCTTACTGATGCTGCAGATAAATGGTACAGTGTATCCACACCAAGTCTGGTACACCAAGGAAGTTTCAGTGCCACAACATATGTGGGGCAGACCTGATCTGCTCAGCATACCCAATGCACCTTTCATATGCAAGCCCAGGTTTCCCTGCACCTTACATATGCACCTTACATATGCAAGCCCAGGATGTGATAGAGCCATGGCAAGTGCCAAGTGCCCACGTGCCCTTTGTCTTTAGCTACCCTTGACCCTAGCCAGGGATCTCTTCTTTCTGCAAAGACTGTGAGCACTATTCCTGAGACATCAGCTCAAGCCCACCAGCTGGAGTACTGAGGAGGGAAGGTGGAGCCTTGGCTGCCTCCATCCTAGTGGCCACCAGAGAAGGAGGAGCTGGCAGCCCTGGGGAGTATGCTCCCAAGAGCAGGTGTTCAGGTAGGCTGAGAACTATATTGGAGAGGCCAGCCATCCCCTGCCTTAGCAATCTGTGGCATAGAAATTTAGACCAAGAATGTAATGTTTAGGTCTGGAGCTAATGGCTAAGGCAAAGTGTTCTTGGGAGGAAGAGGCAAACTTATTTTAAGACAGATATTTACATATGTTTGATATCTATGGCTTACCCAGGGTAAGGTTCAGTGTGGGGAATGGGGCCTTCTTCACAAAACAGCATGTGTTTTCCTAAAAAGCTTCCCATCAGAGGTTACATGTATTTACCGCACACTGACAGTAGTGCCTGATTTTGATTTTGCCTAAAGAGCAGTTGCTTGTATGCTCCTTCCCACCCTTACCCCCCCCTCCCCTCCCACCCCCCCACCATTTCCTCCCGTTGTTCTTTTTCAGATCACTTGAAGGTTTTTTCCTGTTTATTATCCGGACATGCTGTGCACTGCGTGTTGATTTGACTGTCATATAAGGAATCTCCTACTGGGATCATTGATATCATTGATACATTCCTTTCTTATAGATACAGATATATATATACATGGCAATGGCACTTAGAAGAGAAAAGTTGGTGGTTAAACCAAAATTGGAATGAGCTACAGGTGTTAATGGGGGTTAAGTTTTATTACCCTTTCCCAGAAAACCTGCAACACTGTGATGGGTATAGTCATAAGCAAAAATTCTCTTTAATTAACATAACAGGAAAGGTACTTCGGTGAGCAATCACACTGATGTCCTGGGCTGGCACATGTGTGTACCACGAATATATCTCGTATTTCCTGCAAATTTCTTTTAAGTAGTTTTAAGGAAGATGTTCTTTTTTTATTTTTTTATTTTTTGGTGGTTCACAAAAACGAATCACTTACTTAAGGAGCTTTTTGAGGAAAACAATGGAACAAAACAATGCTTTTTGTATGACCTGCCAAAGCACAAAGGATGCATGGGATGTTTTTTTTCTTTGTTGCTTTTTTTTTCAGCAGGAAGTTTTGTTGTTGGAAACGAGTATAACATGCACTGTCCTTGCTCTATGTAACCACTGTCTAGTCCTGCAAGCCGGGTCTTGTTACTTGCCTCATCAAGCTGGCACAGGCACCGTACTGCTTCACTCTGTGGGCTTTGTTCCGTCCTGAGTGTCCGCACACTTACTCTCCATCCGGACCGATGAACAGTAAACAAACTTCAGAAGTCGGGTGGTCCAATGATTGCTGGGTTCGCGCAGGTCAGGGCCCACAGCTAAGAATGCTGACTTTGTGAATCGCCTCCTTTTTTTTCCTTAGACTGCTTAAAGTCAGAGTGCTATACAGTACAAACAGCTTCGAAGCGCTTTTAGGTGTAAATATTCCTTTCCGAAACTCAACTTTGATGTGTTCAGGTCTGCTTTGTTTCCCTGTAGATCAGTTGTAGGTTCGCAACAAAGAGCCAGATCCGATTGAGTAAATCACTTGTGGAAGTTAATTGTTCACAGTGAAAGCTGGTCTGGCTCATTTTGCCTCTGTCACAGGAAGAGACAGAAGTGGTGTACTGGATCTGCGTTCTAAACCAAGCACTGACGCGACTTTAATTTTGATCAGATGTCTCTCTTCAGGGCACTAAAGAAAACCTTTGCAGTAGTCAAAAAGAGCCTCTTCTCTAGAGAAACGTAAGAAAAAAAATAATGTATTTTACAGAAATAAAGTACTAATATAAAATTTCAGCTTGGTCAAATTTCTTTTGCAGGCTATCATAAAAGAAACCTACTTCTCTATATTTGGCAGTCACCAGAATCAAAGAATTTTTATTTATTTATTTTTTTCTGGGAAAAAAAATATGTATATATATATATCAAATTATTTGTAATGTCAGATATTGTATGATGGTAGCTTTATATTTCAGCTGTTTTTTTCACTACTGCTGTGTTTATATTATGTTTGTACCTTCTATCCATCAACATTTTTAAATGCTTTTCAGAAACAGTTATGTGTTTTGATTTCTTTAAGTAACAGTCTTCTGTTCTTCTCTCCTTAGGACTGAAGCAGTGAGAATGGAAGCCACACAGATTAATATGTCCCGTGTCCCGCTGGTTAACGGAGGCATCGACACCGCACTCAAAGCACACAAACCCCGTGTGATGTCCAAAAGCGGTCACAGCAATGTGCGGATAGACAAAGTTGATGGCATTTACCTACTCTACCTTCAAGATTTGTGGACTACAGTTATAGACATGAAGTGGAGGTACAAACTCACCTTATTTGCTGCTACTTTTGTTATGACCTGGTTCCTTTTTGGAGTTATCTACTATGCCATTGCATTCCTTCATGGCGATTTAGAAATAAACAAGTTCACCCCAAAGAGGGAGCCATGTGTCAAGAACGTAGACTCTCTTACGGGGGCATTCCTCTTCTCTCTAGGAGTCACAGACGACCATTGGCTATGGATTTCGTTTCATTACAGAGGAATGTCCACATGCCATTTTCTTGCTTGTGGCCCAACTGGTCATCACCACCTTGATTGAAATCTTCATTACAGGTACCTTTCTGGCCAAAATTGCAAGACCTAAAAAAAGGGCAGAGACTATTAAGTTCAGCCACTGTGCAGTCATTACTAAACACAATGGAGAACTTTGCCTGGTGATCAGAGTAGCAAATATGAGGAAGAGCCTTCTGATACAGTGTCAGCTGTCTGGGAAGCTTCTTCAGACATATGAAACCAAAGAAGGGGAGAGAATCCTGCTGAATCAAGCCAGTGTCAAGTTCAATGTTGACTCCTCTTCAGAAAGTCCATTTCTCATTCTGCCTTTAACTTTCTACCATATTTTGGATGAAAGCAGCCCTTTAAGAGATCTCACACCTCAAAATCTCAAGGAGAAGGACTTTGAGCTTGTGGTGCTCCTGAATGCCACAGTGGAGTCCACCAGCGCCGTCTGTCAAAGTAGAACTTCCTACATCCCGGAGGAGATCCACTGGGGTTACGAATTCGTGCCTGTGGTTTCCCTCTCTCCAAATGGAAAGTATGTTGCAGATTTCAGTCAGTTTGAGAAGATTAGGAGAAGCACAGATTCTTCTTTTTATAGTATGGACTCTGAAAAACAAAAATTAGAGGAGAAATACAGGCAGGAGGATCAAAGAGAGAGGGAACTGAGAACAATGTTGTTACAGCAGAGTAATGTTTGATTGAGTGGACAAACTATCCTGATTAATCCTTTCTGCAAACTGAGAAAACATTCTTTCTGTGCTGTATGTCTGTTATAAAGCCAGCAATGAAGTCCTTTTCAGAAAATAGCTTTGGTGTAGAGTAAACCTATCCCTTTGTTTGGATGAGTTGTTAATCAAGTATTTTGTAATTAGGTGGGATTTCTTTGTTCATGATCTTGACTTAGCGAAGTTGGATTTGTATTAAGTCTCTGCTTTATACCACCACTAAAAGCAGACACATCACTTTCTGTTTGGAAAGTGAAACTGGATGCACTGTGCTGATTCCTACAAATATTTATTTGACTTGGTTTTACTGTGAATGCATTCACAGTGACGGCACACCGTACGGCTAAAAGAAAATATGCTCTGTTAAAATATGTATATTTAAAATATGTATATTCTCGTACCAGTTATTACCTTTGTGGAAATTTCTGGCATGGAAAATAAGTTGATTGGAGAGACAAACTGTTAACTGTGGGAAAAGCCTGCAGGGAAGTGATAAACTCCTTCTGAAATCTTAAAGGAAGGTGACATAGTAGTTGTGCTGGGTGGTGGGGAAGGGAGCTCTCCCTCTGTTTCTGCTACACACAACCTGTTTTTTGATCGCTCACTTTTTAAAACCTTGTTAATGGCTGATTTATGTATAATAGCAAAAAAAGGGGAGATGAGGGCAAGCTACACAAAATCATAACAGTAATCAACTAAGGTTAAAGCTGACTTTGAGACACCTGTTTTTTATTCAATGTAAATAGTTTATAACAGCAGCATAACAATACATTTCTACAGATTGCTTGCTTTGCTATAGACCATATTTAATTTGGTTAAAAGAAAGCTGTATAATGTCTGTAGACAATATTTACTTTTTTCTGGCAACCATAAAGGACAAGCATTCCTTTCATCCATTTCATTTTTGGTCTATTAAAACCATTCCATTAATAAAGGAATTTAATTTGAACAGCTCCTGATCTCTTTGTGGCACAGGGAGAGGGTGTGGTACTTTGGAGATGTTGAAAGAGCAGAATGCTTGGCATATGCAGCTACATTCAGCACACAAACAAGGAACTCATCACATCACTACAGTGGTCAGATAAAGGGGAGCAAACCAGGTAGCAGCGGTGTCCATATAACATACCAGTTATGTGTAGGTCAGCTTTTTAATGGGAATTAGTTTTTTTTTTCTGATTTGTACAACTTTGTAAACCTCACGAGTTCTAGAGGATTTACTTCTCTAAAGCTCTGGCAAATAAAAGCTGTATTAAGTATGATTTTGGGGTCTGAGGTCCATGTCTTGGCCTGAGAGCCACCAAGGCCTGCAGTGATGAAAGAACTTGTTATCATCATACTTACTGTTACTGGGCCTAGCTTTGCAGCCCTGTACGGCTTGGTGGAATCTGCAATACAGTATGCTAAACTATAAGTGAATTTAGTTTGATTCCGAAAGAAGCACTCGGCAAGTTGAGTGCAGACCTACCCATGGCACCAAAAGTGAATGCCAAGGAGGGAATGTAGACTGTGGGAATACTGGGGGTGTGGGGAGGTGGTGGGAAGAGGTGAGGCTGAATAAGAGGCTTAAAACTCTCCTGTACCTAAATGGTTAGCTGTCTTTTTGTGAGAAGTCAAAGATCCAGGTACTTGCCTGAAAAGAGAGACTTAACCCATAATGAAAAAGGTTCCCTACCTACCATGATTCAAGCAAGTTTTCTCAAATCATTGTAATTGCAGGGCCCGCCTAGCATTTTTGGAATTTCCAGGTGATACAGTGCAGTGCTGTCATACAAGTTTTCATTTGCAACGATCTATAGAAGATGATAACATTTAAATTATTGATTGTTCATTTTCAATTTTCTTTCATTTTGTCTGATTGCTTGTTTTGTTGGCAGGAACTGTGATTATTCAGTGAAGTTTTGTAGTCACTTTGTAGACCTCAGGTTCATGTCCTACAACTCAAATAACACTGCTCTGGAATGTTCTGAGGTGAAAGTGTGCAGGCATCTTCACTCTTCTTCTGCCAAATCTTAGACTCCATAGTTCAACAATCAAATATATAATTCTTTCTTATCTAGGTAAGATCACAGTTACACAGTCACTCCTAAAGTCATTCTCCAAACAGTGACTTTAGAACAGATTTCACCAACAACAAGTGAGCTGGATCCTCTCCAGGAGTACGTGATGAACTGAACTGAGCCCCTCCCCCCCATCCTATCCCCACCCATGGAAACAGACCTGGAAATTTGTGTCTTCCAGGAGAGCATTCCATCCATTTCAATAACTTTTTTTTTTTTTTTTTTAAATTGCACTTTCTTGGTTGTATCTTAAAAACAAAACAAAAAAAACAAACAAACAAAAAAAACCACTAATGTCTTGAAACCTGCAGTGGACACATTTGTCAAGTCCCAAGGAGCCTGCATATTTCTGGATTATATCTAGGAAGTCCTGTGGCTATCCAGCTGCAGCAATGCAGTTGTGTGGGAACTTCTGGGGCAGCCAATTAGAAGACCAGGCTGCTCCAGGCTTAAACAGATACAAAGCAGTAATTTTTTAGGATTTGAACTTGTTGACCTAAGGAAGCAGGCAGGGACTTATGTCCCTGTGTACACCAATCACAGACTACAGTTGTTGGGATCACTAGTCCGATCCAGTCATTAAGTTATACTGAAGGAAATAGTCATCATGAGCAAAAGTGTTGGAAAGAAGTATTACATCACAGAAGTGATTCTCTCTGAACTTCCAGTCCTACTAAACTGTAATTAAAAATGGAAAGGAGAAAGGAAAGGAAAGGAAAGGAAAGGAAAGGAAAGGAAAGGAAGGAAAGGAAGGAAAGGAAAGGAAAGAAGGAAAGGAAAGGAAGGAAAGGAAAGGAAAGGAAAGGAAGGAAAGGAAAGAAGGGAAGGAAGGGAAGGGAAGGGAAGGAAGGAAGGACGGGAGGGAAGGGAGGGAAGGGAAGGGAGGGAAGGAAAGGAAAGGAAAGGAAAGGAAAGGAAAGGAAAGGAAACGGTCCCCCAGGAAGCAAAGTAAAGGCAGGCAAAAAAAAAGGCCCGCAAGACAGGAAAGGAATCTAGGAATACAGAAAAGACGGAAAGCTTCCTGAAGAAGAAGAGAAGCAGAAAGCGAAGAGAGAGAGGAAGAAGAGAAGAGAAGAGAAGAGAAGAGAAGAGAAGAGAAACTTTTGATAACGTGAATCCAACAGGTAGTGAGAGACTGCAATAGTATCACATATATAGTATGTGATATACACTGTCATTCACTGCAGCTTCAGAACACTGTCTTACTCTGCAATGAGCTGCACTTCTCTTTCTTGCTTTCATGTAAGCTTAATTTCCATTGCCCTATCTAAAATTAAGGACAGAGCAGAAACTACCTTGGCACAACATGTTTAGCTGCAGAGTACTGAACTGCCATAGAGAAATGTCGTAACATGGATCTGATATAAATCACCAACAAAACCACCACCTCTCACTGCCTGTGGTCAGTTCTTCCAGTTGTGTAAGGACCACTGTGGTGATTTACCTCAGCTGAGGACTAAAAGGATGGAGAACCAAAAAGCAAAACTACCATGGTCATCATAAAACTGCCTTACACATAAGTAAAGGCTTTTCTGCCCACTTGGTGATTGAGGGCGTGAGAGCCTTCATGTCTTCTGGTTGCTTGTTTCTATGGCTTCGTGGGTAGAGCACCCACAGCTCCAGTAGGGCAGATCCCTACAGAGCCAGCAGCAACATCTTCTCATTGCTCTCCCTGTCTCACAAACTGTAGATATTGCTTTGGGATCTGCTGAGCTGGATGATTATGCTAGCTTCTCAAATGTACTAACTCTATAAACAAGTCCAAATTAAACCTGAATCTAAACTTTCGGGACCTAAAGAAAGTGACCTGAATCTAAACTTTCAGGACCTAAAGAAAGTGGTAGAGACCCATGCTCTGTGTGCCCTAAGAGCATGGGCACACCCTTCATTCCAGGCACTGTATCATTTAGAAGAAAATACTCATGGTAAGTTAAATATATACATATATTAATTTACTGAGGAATACAATATGTTTATATTTCTTTTGCTCATGTGTTATTAGGGAACAGAACATCATTTTTAGAGTCACTTTAATTATTTGAACTTGTACAGACCACATCTGAATAGGAACATATTTCAGCTCATGGGCTGTTTCTGAATTATTTGCTTTGGCTGTGGCTTCAATACTTCAATGTTTCTTTTTTTTTTTTTTTTTTTTCTTTCTTTCTTTCTGTGGAAGTAGGTGATTGAAGACACATAATTTCACTTCTGCTGCTTCCTTGCAGTGATTTAGAAAGGGAAAAAATGAACCCTTAGAGACTGCAGGCTGACTATACCAGAGTCAGATCCACCATTCTTCACAAGCATTTCATTTCATCTTCCAAAATGATGCTAGTGTTTGTGGAAAGCCAAAAATATGACAGGGGGAGAAGATGTGGAATAAAGGTCTCTGGAAAAACGTGGTTCTCCTATTTTCTGAATAGAGGTAGCAGGGCAAATAGCTATTAGGTCTTAAAGACAGAAGTAGGAAAATGCAGAATGGAAAAACAGAAAGAAAAGAAACACCAAACACTTATGCACAGTCACACTCACCAGTACAACCAAATATTTGCCACTTCCATAGGATAGCAGGTGAAAAAACAACAAACCAAACCAAACCAACAAAAAACCCACCTCTCCAGTTTGCTGAGGTGACACAAGGGACTGGGAAAAGTGAATGCGGGTTTTGTGTTTGAACAAAAGTTCCTGATGACTTCTGAAGGTGTTTTGTTTGCTCAGTGTTAGTCTGATCTTGCAAGAGAACAGGTAAGACTCTGTGATGATTCTATCAAATCCATAATGTAGGGAAGCTTGAAAAGGCATAGTGTATGCTGTAGCTCTTGCTTACATACACTGGCTGCAAAACGGTCATGTCCCAGTCACCCCTGTGTTGCTGGGATTACATAAATAATGGAATGTTTTCCTAACTTGGCTGCTCAGCCTCCAGCAGATACTCTCTTCAAATATTAGATTACCAGAGCAGAGCCCTTTCAATGCAATAGGTACTGGTTGAACATCCTGTACCTAAATGGCTTGAAAGGGCTTTTGGAGTCCTTCCAGAATGTCATATATTCTCTCAGCAAAGACTGTTCAGAGCTGTCCTGTCCTGTTAGCACATAGTACACACAGCAAAACAATGTAATTCCACAAGTAGCACAGTGCACATATGTGTTTTGCATCTCCTCATAACAGTAAATTGTACACTGATCGCTGTGCACCTTGCTATACCACATAAGTATCAAATTCATTCCTTCTTTACTATCCCCTTTAAATGTTTATCCAGAAAAAATATGACATGATAACTGACATTAATGGTATTGAGGAGAGGAAAACTCTTTAGGACACAGGATTTATGACTCTGACAGCCACATTGTCTTGAATCTTTTGCATGGAACTAAGACTGCTGCTCTACCTGCCTGCTCTGCTTCTTTGCTTAGGATCAGCATCCTCAGGACCAACAGCAGAATGGAGAAGTGAGTGGCACTACTGTGGCTCCAGCTGAGATTCAAATGTGTGGCAGGCTCTGATGACACCAAAACCAGCACGTGGAGATAAGCTGATGTTAAGATCCTGGACTGTGGGGGTACAAGATGTGTGCTCTGTTTTGATGACTTTCATCACACCAAAACTGTCTGATGGGGTCATCATCTCAGAGCTGTCTTCAGCCACCATCACTGTATACCTGGGCTTTCTTGGGAAAACACCAATCTTGAAGTAAAACACAGTCATCTGATTTATTCTTTGTTAAAAAGGGACGAGGTATTTGAGGAAAAGATTTAATGGGGTCAAATGACTCCAGTACTCATTAATTGTTTTTGCATTACAAATTGTTCACCTTCCATAGATCTATTTCAATGTCTTCTCCCTTCTCCTGCTCATATTAAGCATCTAATTATCTGGTGCTGGTTAGGATTA